TCCCATTGGTCCCTGCAGCAGACACACACATGCTTGTCAGCTCCCAGCTCGGGCAGTCACCGTGCCACAACGGCCTTCTCTGTGCACGTGTTTTGAGTGTGCCAAAGCGGGCGTACGCGCCGACGGCGGGGGCACAGGCTCACCCCTTCATGCCAGGGATGTGACGGTGCTGCGGAAAAATGCAACAGGAGTTGCAGTGGGGAAAACGGGGCGGGAAAGGTAATTTTGAATAAAACCCACTCCTGAAGGTACCAGGACAGAAGCACAGCCGTGTCAGAGCCTAAGGGCCCTGTGCAGCCCCAGCCCACTGCTAACTCTGGGCAAAAAAAGCACCTTTTTCTGTTAAAAGCAACAAAGCTTAAACCAATCTGAGGCAGCGCTCAGCCAAGCCCAGCCCCAGAGTTACCTCTTCCCCATGGCAGGTAATGGATAAACCCCTGCACCCCCAAACCCCAGCGAGGAGCAGATTGTCCTCGCTCTGCCACTGCGGCGGATTACACCTACGGTGGTCTCACCCCACGGAGAAGCATCTCCCACGCCATGGGCTCTTCACGAGGTCAGTGTGGAGGAAGCCGAGTGGGAGAGTGAGCCCCACATCATCACTATCTCTCCAAGACATTCTGTGGACACCCCAAACCTGGGGACCCCAAACTCTGAGACATTCTGGGACCCCCCAAACCCAAGCCTTGTCACCGAGACAGTCTGTGTCGCGATGCTGGGGACGGCCGAGGGAGAAACAAGGATGGGTTCTGTGCTCTCGGGCCTCTCGAGCACAGGGTGATGCTGTCACCAGCTCTTGCGCGCTGCTGGTGTCCACGGAGAAGCTGAGCCGTAGACAGCAGGCTTGGCTTTTTGTTTTATTTTATTTTATCATCTGATCTCAACCCGGTGTGAGTCTGCAAGAGGAAATCTCCTTTATCTGCTAACCTCAGCACGGCCCTGACCGCACAGCAGATGAAAGTACAACACCGTCCTCTGGGGCTGCAGGAGGCCACAGAGAAATAAATAACCCCACACAGGCAGGAAGGCAAAAATCTGTTATTTATTGCTGGTGTCAACCAGGGAAGGGGGAATCAACCACAACGAAGGCAAAGCCCCCGCGGTGCGTTTCCCAAGGACCAGGGCAGCGGTAACTCCGGCTCGCAGCGGCTCTGCAGGGTGCAGCAAGGATGACGGCATCTGCAACGGGATGGGAGAAGAGGGTCAGGGAGTGGGGCCGTGTCTCCCCACGCCCTGTGGTTTTGTGTGTGTGTGTGTGTGTATGTCCTAGTCCTGCCTCGCTGGCTGGACCCAGGTGATGGGCCCTGAGCAGATCCTCCATCCTGCAAGAGGGTTCTCAGCAACGTTTTGCTGCGGAACAGGTCACCTCTTCACCTGGCCGTTGCTGTTTCGGCGCAGCAGCAACCCTGTGTCTTAAGTCAGTGGAAAGGGAGACTCCGGGAACCCAGCGGGCTCTGTGCAGCAGTGACTTTATAAACCAGTGCCAGCACGGCCAGCTCACCAGAAAGCGCCCTGCTCCCTCCTCCGGTTGATGTCCCTCTTCAGCTGGCAGAGCGCGCACATGGGGCAGCACAAGGCAGCGGCGCAGTCGCCCAGAATGGAGCCCTGCGGAGCAAAGGACGTTGTGTGAATAACCCCTTCCCACCTCAACTTTCAAGTCTTCCTATTTTTTCATTGTCAGCAATCCTGGTCCCGCGGCACGCCGCTGGTCATGCCCAGCGAGGACCGGGATGAGGCGGTGGGATGATCTCCAGCTCACAGCAGGGATGGAGCTGGGTCCCTGGCTCCCTGCCCCTGCAATTCCCCGCTGC